GGAAGGATCACTTTTAAAAAGAGCAAAAGGCCTCTTATCTCCACCTGGAGCTTTACAGTTAGAAATTAGCCAGCTAATCCCCAAACAGGGGAATGCGAGCAAGGGGAAGATGGAAAGTTACCTGAGCATTCACAGACATCCAGTGCTCTCACCGACATCCTCATTTGGGGGAGCAAAACTGGAAAATGGCCAGAGCAAGAGGCAACATTGGTGTTTGCTACAAAGCAGTGCCCGTTTTGAGTGACAGGCATTCACCCTGGCCTCAGCCTCTGGGTAGTAACCACTTAGGACCACTCATCTCAAGCAACCAAGGCAATTTTGTGAAGGCATCAGATCCTTATGATGGGTCACAAGATCTTGACCACCCATTTCCCACATCAGGAGTTTCCTGGCTTTGCATGGGCTCTGAAACTCAGCCTCTTTCATCTCTTCTCTGCCATTCTCTGCCAATAATCCTTACATGGGATCACAACCCTCCCAGGTGAAGAGCCACACTTCAGAGAGAACTGACATACATGTGCCCCTTGGGTGGGGAGGTGAGCCCACGGCCGGTGGTCCTGCTATCCCACTCTGGGAAGGAAAGAAAGTACAAACTCAGCCCCATGGCCAGATGCAAAGGGTACAGAAGAATTCGTCCTGCAGGGGCATTAGGGATGTCCTCAAAGAGGCTGCACGTCCTGAACAACAGGTTCTCTTGTGCCTGGAGGACTGATTGCTGGGACATCCAGACTACGTGATCCCATGCTCTGCACTTCTAAAAGCAGGTACTATCAGGAACATATCTCTGCAGAGGCCACAAGGCTCCAAATGAATGCTGGAGAGGAACAGGGGGATGCAAGGCTTTCCCTAGCCTTTTACCCTTTGTTCAGCTGGTTTTTCTGCCAGCATCCTAGCAAAATTCCCTACTCTCCTCCCCTTAATGTTATTCTCCCTTTGCAGAGCTGTTCTCAGCACTTCAGCATCCCGTGATGTGCAGGTCTCAGGCAACTCTGACAGCCTCTGGGGAAAAGAAGATCTTGGTCTCATGCCTCCCAGTCTCTGGTCTGGTTTGATCTCAGTAGGAGTGGAGGGAGCAGAAGAGACATAACACTTAAGCCCTACTTTGCTTTCTGGGTCACAAAGGCCTAACAGCATATATACAAGCTGCATAAGGAACCCAGGGGCATTGCTCAGCTGATTGAATGGAGCCTGCTAGTGGGCCAGAAAGGGTGGGTTTGGTTTTGTTTGGGTTTTTTTTTAACCCTCTTTTCCTCTTCTTTTAACTTTTTTTTTTTTTTTAAACACTCGCATCTTGCCAGCAAAAAGAAGATACTGCCTTACTGCACTCACTCCTGGCTGGAGCCAAAGAACTGGAGGAAGAAAGAGAAGATGTAGATGATGTCCAGATAGATATTGAGGGCTCCAAAGATGTATTCCTCTGGGTTCAGCGAGTACCGACGATTCCCCATCAGCATCTGGGTATCAAATGCCAGGAACTGTGAGGAAAGAGGAGGAAACTCATGGAAACAGTCACATGGAGATTTGGCACATAGAGGCAAGAAGTGCTCTAATGACAGGAGTTCTCCCAATTGCTTCACTGTATCCAGAACAAAAATACAGCCACTTCTTATGGGCTGTAACTGCAATTTAAAAGGTCGGAACAATGCACTGATCAAGCTGCAACTTTCCCCTTCCTTCATTTCACTCTTGATAGTCAAACCCTGAGCCTAACTATTACTTCAGGCCTGCTTCCTTCATGCTTTTTCCCAGGGTTCCCCTTTGCTTCATCCACCCCAAATATGTCCCAGGATCCCCTCTGGAGCAGTTCTTTCTGTTCCTCCTCAGCCAGTCCCTACAGCTTGTTATTCCCAGACTTCCCCCAGTTCAGAAACACCTTCCAGGTAACAAGGTGACCTGGAGCCAACATGGCATTGCAGCAGCAGCAGAGCAATAAAGAGCAAGAAACCCCAGATCCTGGGCAGCACCAAGGTCTGCAGAGCTGCCAGCAGAGGTAGCCGGGCCCAGAGGGGAGCTAACACCTTTCTGAGGTACAAACACGACTAAGTGCAGGGCAGATTTTACCAGTGAAGCCACTGCAGTCGGAATCTACTGCCCAGCCTGCCTGCAAGGGACACAGCACTCACAGGAACAAACACGGGCTACAAGGCAGGCTGGTGACCCAGCTGCAAGAAAACCTGCACCTTGTTGCACGACTTCAAGCTCAGCGTCTTCTCCCATCTCACCTCTACTCCCTCTGTTAATCCAGCCCGCGACAGACACCTTGGTGTGGAGCTCCTCAGGGCTGGCAGGGCATCTTTGCCATCACCTGGGGTCAGCTGGCACCTCTGCCCTCCCCAGTCACAAATAACTGATCTCATCAGACATTGTCAGGCTGAGCTGACAAGCCAGCAACAGATTCCACCAGCTGAGTTTGACTGAAGTTTATGAGGTAATGTTAAGAAGTTTAGCCTGCTTGTATTTTACAGAGCGGTCTTCAATCATGAATCACAGAAGAACTATCTGAGCTCACTTGAAATTATTATACCTAATAAACAAAATTGCTCAACTGTTCTTATTCACAACATGCCCAATGGGCACCGCCTTGAACCCCAAGGCAGCCCTCCTCCTGACCCCCACCTCACGGTAACGCCAGGCGTCTTCCCACAAAACTCCCACACCTGAACGGCAAGCACAGCACTGCCAGGACTTGCTCTCGGAAGAGGCTTGCAGGAGGAACCGCCGAGGAGCAGTTGAAGGAATGAATCAAGCCTTTTCAGCTTTCCTTGGAGGAGCTGCCCAGCTTCAGGGCTTTTCCTGCCTGCAATGAACCTTCCTAGTGCTCCTTAATCCCAACCCATGGCCTCTCACTCTTTCGATACATCTGTTTCTCTTACTCAAACTCATACCCAATCCTTCGCCCACTCCCACTCAACCAGCCCCAACTTGACTTTGCTCACTTCTGCAGCCTCATTTCATCCCCAGGCTCCTTTGAGCCCTGCAATCCAGCTCCCACTGCTGTGCCAGAGATGAATCTCTGCTTTTCCCACTCCAGAGATGCCTTTTTGCCCTGTCCCTACAGTGCTTTCTGCTGTTCACACCTAGTATTGCGCATACAGCATGGGTTTGCCTGTCACACCATGCTCTGCGCCAGCACTGTCATGTACACCAACACCTTCTCGGGACAAGGCTGAGGTCACTGCAATAATTGCTGTTCATGAGCCATTTGAAGACGTGGAGCTCTCTGCAATCCAGTGACTCGCTCTTCTCACTTTCCCAAGCACCCTTTAAGGCTGACAGAATTTACTCCTTGCTTATTTGCTTATTTTTCCTGCCAGCACATTCCCAGGCCTCATGACCAGCACCACTTACCATAGTAAAGATTATGGCACCAAGCATAGCGTAGATTGCGTGGAGCCAGGGAACCTAAAGGAAACAAATCCATCAGTCAGTGCCTGGGAGAAAACTGATTAATTAGGACCTGACACAGAAGAGGGCTTAGCTCTCATGTGGAGGATACAAATTAGGGAAAGTGCTCTAATAGCCCAGGATGGACTTGCACCACTTCCAGCTCCAACACGGTTTCTGTTGTTGACCTTTCCTGGCAAAAACAACAGGTCACTGTGCCTCAGTTTCCCCTCTCACTGTGGCCATTGTGTCTACTTGGCTCACAAGCTTCTAGATCAGGTACTTGTGTTTCCAAATAGCCTACTTCAACACAGCTGCCATCTCTGTGGCAATATCTTAGCACTATCCTGACAGAAACATTTTGCAGCAGCCCTAGGTGTTTGTTTACCCAGATGAGGTTGATGCCACTGGAAGAAACACCAAATGCTTCCAAGAGCCAGACCCAGCTTTAATTAACAAGGATAACTTAAATGGGTTCGTCTGCTGCAGTCACAGCAGGAAATTCACTGGAATTAAGACCAAACCTCAACCCCTGCTTGCTGTGGCACAGTAGCACACAGTGCTGATGGAGAAGGTGCCTACACGGACAGCTGATTCAACCCAGAGATTGCAGCCTGCCTCCCCAGATACACAAGCTCATGACAAGGCTGCCTCAAGCTACGCTTATCTTGACAAGCTGCAAGATAAAGAGTAGTTGTCTCAACAGTTTAATGGCAGTGGCTTGGCACTGCAAGCTGGTTTACCCTCACATTTGCACCGGAGAGAGATGGATCTCAAGCCAAGACAACCAAAATCTAAGCTCCCGGTTTTGGAAACACCACGCTGTGTATTTGTCCATCATCATACCAACTCCAGGGCTAGTACCAGTGGGAGTATCTCCTGCAGGTCTGGCCCTTGAAGTATGACGCAGGTCCCCAGAGAAGCCAGGTAAGATGTGAAGGGTTTGGAGGTCATTTAAAGGCTGTCATGATCAAAGCCAGGTGCCTCCATCTCCAGCACAAGCAGGCGTTCAGGATGATTAATGGTGGCTGCACAGCCCCACACACCTTCCCTCTTTCATCAGCATCTTCCAGGGTCTGTCAGGCTCTTGTCTGAATCACGACTCACCTAAAGACACTCTTGGATGGAGACCAGACACTCCATGCTGCCACACCAAACCCTCTATCAGGTGTGGTCACAAGCCACCCCAGGATTTCAGCTGGGCACAGCCAACACCAGCTGTGATCAGGTCTGAGCTAAAAGCAGGGAAGCTGAAGGAAGGGGCTGGACCCATGCAAGAGAGGCTGGCAGCAGTTGGAGGAGTGACAAGGTAGTCACTCATGGTCAGGACTTGTTGCCGGGCCCCTCTCCAGATGGACTTATTTCTGAGAAATTTGAGCCTCAAGATTCAAACACTGCAGCACGGTGCCTGAAGTTAGTGTGAATACAGCCAGGTCTGGCCAGACAGGCAACCCACTGCACTTGTCCAGAGTCCAAGTTCTGCCCTGAATTTGGGGCAAGAGCCCTGTTTTGTATTGGGCAGGCCAGCACCTTAATGTGTGCACCACCCTGGTTTTACCGGAGGGGAAACTGAGGCACAAGCAGGTGATCTGACCTCCTGTGCAATCACTACACAGCTCCAGGAACAGAAGCAAACTTCCTCAAGCCCCAGGCCCGTGCTGTCCTAAAACCTGATATCTGATTGTACAGCAAGAAGGCAACAGCCACCTGGTCTTGCCTTTTGTTTCTGTTGGTGTTTCTGCATGTTTTCTGAGAGCAGGCTGGGACACCCCTCTCAAGCCAAGCCCTGGAGCTTGCCCGCTTTAGGCTGATCGGCTCCCAGCGTAGCGCCAGGGCTGGTGGCACTGGGTGAGGAAGGAGGAGCACAGGTCATTACTCACATATTGGTAGGGCAGTATCACAGCCAGGATGATGCCACCAAAGAAGAGGACCATGAGCATCACAAAGAGGACGCCCTGGTAGGAGGTGAAGTCAAACTGCGGAGGTAAAGAACATCATGTTACAAGTGCAGACTGCCGCAACAGGAGGCAGTGAGGGGAGCCGAACTCCCCGTGTCCACAGGGAGGGACTCCCCAGCCGCTCACCCATCTTGCTGTCACATGGCAATTGCTTCACCTGCATCTCAGGTCCTATAGCCCAACATCCATCTGTATGGCAGACAGAGCCAAACGCTTACCATATCCCCTGTATGGCCATGGGCAAGAACTCGGTACCCAGCACATACCTGAAATCCAAAAGCCCATCGCACATGTTTGTGCCGGTGCCCTTCTGTACCCCACAGCCTAATCCTCAAAAAAACCACCTTGCCCCCATACATTAGCATCTTCCACCCCTGTCTATACCCTGACACATCCCTCACCCCAGCATCTGTCCTAATCTTCCTGTAACCTTCTCTTTACATCCCAGCATCCCTCAGGTTGCTCCTGTATCCAGAGTCCTACAGACCTGCCCCTCACACCTCACCCCCAGCGCTGCCTGACACTGCGGTCCTATGCCTGGGAGATGCTTCTCCCCGAGGGACTGACCAGCACAAACTCACCTTGGTCTGGAAGCTGAAGATCGTGACAGACAGACACACCAGGGCTGTGATCCCCAGACACAGAAGGACCGACTTGGTATTGTAGTAACTGCAAAATTAACAGCAAACCCGCTTTTCCGTATTTCCCACAGGGACAGGTGGAAGGAGGGATTAAGACAGGCAGAAGCTTAGCAGAGGTGTACAGGGAAAGTGTGCATCCTTGGGGCACAAACGTCACTGAAATTATCAATGTCCCCCTTTAATGTAAAAAAGGAAGGATAGAAAACACTAAAAAAAGCCTAGGTGGGTTTTCCTCCTGTTTAAATAGAAGAGGGTAGGGCAGGAGGGCATGTCTGTGCCTTCTGGGAACTCATGAACGGCTAAGATGGGGACTTACTATAAAAATCTATCCATCCATGGACAGATGGAGAAGGGGGAGGATTCAAACTAGGAGGTAATAAAAGTAGAATGACAAAGGTCTTTGCAGCACAATGAGAAATGAGAAAGCTGCAGCCACTGTTACACTACTGATGTGCTCGTAACAGGGGTTTGAGTCTTGGAAAACTGCAGGGAAGGAGGGATTTGAACAGGTAGAGAGACTGCAGGCTTAGGTTAGAATTTTTTTGTATGTCTGACTACTGATTTTGGTTACAGCACCAGGCTCAGCCCTAAGAAAAGCCAGTCCCCACTCTCCCCTTCCATTTGATTTGAGAATGATATCGCTGGTATTTTCCCCGAGTTGCTGAAGCCACTACTTTCTTTGTCCCCAGCACGCATCCATCAACACCCACTGGCTCATCTGCCTCGTCACCAGGCACCCACGTGAACCAGGGCTGATCTTGTGAGCAGATTGTAACAGTAAAAACACAAGCAAAAGGGAGCAAGCTGTAGACTACAAAAGACATGAAACTGCTGGAAAAAACTCCTTGTGTCACTCCAGCCCCATCTGCTAGAGTGCTGCTTAGTGGAAAAGGTGAGATCACAGTATATGGTAGTCCCCTGTAGCCCATCCTGCAGGCTTGTCCCTGGCTCTCTAGTGCTCTCCTATAGGATTTAGCGTAGCCAGGAACTACCCTGTGCTGCCCCAATTGTGACAGAGAAGGGGGTACCACCATAGGTCTTGGAGAACTTTAAAAAGTGTTTTCAAAAGGGAAGGTCAGGCTTTGTGTGGCTACTGAACAGCTCCAAAGAGATCAGGTGGCCCATATATTTCAGAAGTAGGGAAGGTTTTTTGCAGGAAGAGACAGGACATAGGACCAGAAAACTTCCAGAGACCGCATGCTCAACCTACCTGGAGAGCATCCCAGTGAGATAAGCCATGGAGAGGGTCTAAAGAGAACCACATTACTCCTGCATTCATGTCCCAGGGAGAGACACACAACAAATAAAACATTTCAATTATAGTGATGATAAGGGCAGTGAAGCCTTTTAAACAGATACTCAGGAGAAGCAATTTTTACATAGTTTCTAATCCTCCAGTGATTAATATCCACAGGGCAGGTTAAAGTGAGGGCAGGCCACCGCCCTGAGAGCAGTCCCACCCTCTCCATCCCTCTACCCCTTTTGCACAGGACTCCAGCACCCTACCCCAGATCCCACCACCAACCAGCCTCCACAGGTTGGTTTTTTTTTAAAAAAACAACCCCAAGGCTCCCTTCTTTCCTGCTTATCACATTCTAGTTCAATTACAGCTCTTCAGCCCAAGTGCAGGGCAATTAGAGGATGAAATTCCTGCTTCTGCAGGAATCCAGACCAGACACCTCTCCTGCTTGGAGCCATTATGAAACCCACGCTGGTTGCAGGGGCAGGGCAGACGCTGTCCAGATGTGCTACTTACAAAGATGCTCAGCAGGATCAGATTCCATGGGAAATACCTCCTGCAAGTGAAGAAACAGGGGCTGGTTAGCCCTGCGATGCGGAGGGCAGAGGTAGTTAGCAGCGCTGCACAACAGGTTGCATAAGATGTGCAGTATAATTAATGGCCTGTGCAGCAAATGGCAGGGATGGTGCAAGGGGACAGTCATCCTGCTGGGAATGAGAGAGCATTTGGGGTGCTCCTAGACCAAGGCAGCAAACATTCCCATGATATTCCAGCAGAGCAGTGCCCTGCTCCACTGAGAGCAAAGATGACCGTCTTCTGCAGTATTTAATAATGAGAATTTGGAGCTACACAGCAATGCAGTTTTTGCTGCAACATAGCTTCCTTTCCAGTTGCAATTTGACTTCAGCTTTTAAGGCTGCATTGCAGCAACCCACAACTACATCAGGCCTGAAAATCCAGCTGCCACCTCAGTCCCTACATCACTTTGTCAGCATGACCCCATCCCATCCCTGCAACATTATTGGTCATGCTTGAAACAAGAGGAAAAACATTCGTCCTTCATTTCACAGGGCTGTTTCAAATCCAAAAAGAATATATTTTACCTGGGTCCAGAGCAGCAAGCAAGAATCAAGTAGGTCACAAAGAAAACAGCACTGCAAAGAAAAGAAAGAGCCATTTAGGGAGGAAAACCCAGGCATTGTGCATTGATGCAGGAGAGAAGTCTCCAGCTGACAAGTTTCAGTGCTCTGCTGCGCTGTTTAAAATGCAAGCACCGTGCCAGAAGTCGAGGCTGGGTAGGAAGCAAGGCAGTAACGACCTCTCGCTGAAGCAGTCCTCTGCCCACAGCTGCCTACTTTGCTTATGCCAGTCCAAGGTGGGACAGCACAACCGTCCCTGAAAAACCTGAAGGATGGTTTTAGAGCAGAGCAACGGTAGCATTCAGGTCCAGGATAGATGGTGCACCCAGACATGTTTGCTGCTGATACCTCATCAGTGCATGAATTGCCCGTACAGAGGTGGCCAGACTTTGCTCATTTCCAGGCACTTCCTGGCTTGGTGGGATCAAGGCATCCTGCTGGGATTTCAGCAGCACTTAAACCAAGATTCGCAGAGCTGGTAAAAGGGACTTGCCTAAGGCCAGAGGGAAGGTCTGTCTCGAGGAAGGGAACTGGTCCCATGTTACTGCACCAGTGCTTGAGGAAGAGTTCAACAGCAGAAGGATCCTCTAAGGTCAGTGAATCTCACAGACCCAAGCCTAATATGCTGTTGCACAAGCCATCCCCAGGTCACAGGAGAGTTATTTATCTCGCATGACTTGACCCTTCAGCAAAGCAAAAAAATCCAACAGCTGAGGGATGGTCTCCCTCTGCTCTGGACGTCACGCAGCCTGGGTGTTTTTCCACAGTGCTGATGGGTTATGGCACAGCGGGAACCTGCTTACCTGCTTTCACCCAGAGCCTCGGGGGGAAAGCAGCTTCCAAGCATGCCGATGGCTGCACGATAGCCAGTCACCTTAGGTCTAATAAATGAACATGACGGCAAAACCCACGGGCCATGATAAATGCACCAGAGATAAACCTGAGCATTGCTCTCCCATGGGGAAACCAGGAAAGCTGTCATGGACACGGCTGAATAGATGGAAAGAAAGCATGCAGGGAGCAAATAGAGCCATTGCAGTTGTCTGTCTCCTTTGCATCCCTTGTTGCACATCTGCTCTTGCTTTACTCCCTCTGAGCCATCGCCCAGCAGTAGGAAAACACCCTAGGGCACCCACTTCTATTTTACAGAGTTATATAGAGAGTTGGGGTCTCTGCATATGAAAGAGATCCAGACCCAGATCAGGACAAGCAGTTGGAGACACTGGGATGGAGGGAAGGTTTGGCTCGCTGGCAAGTGAAGGGACAGTCAAAATTTAAGTCTCTCAAGTACAGAGCCTACCCCCAGCTGGCCCAAGATGGGTTTGGTCCCGCTGAAAGATATAAATGCTGACCATCCAGTGAGCTACAGGAGATGAACCCAAAGGTCAAAGCACAGAGCTGAGCAGAGCTTGGTCTTGTCTCCCTGCAAGGCAATGCTGCTTCTCCAGTCTACCAACTGGCCAAGAAGGAGCACAATATTTTCCTTTAAGGACCAAGAGGAATGCTGATGCCAGTTCCCTTCTATTGCTGCTATTTTGGGTCTCTTTGTCTAAGTTATATAAGCTGGTGTCTCATTTCCGGGCCTAGACACATTTCATGATTTGGGTGTGAACTAATTAAAGCCAAGTTCACAGAGCTTTGTTCACAGACAATTGCATCGTACACTCTGCCTGCTTAATTAGCAGCACTAACACAAGCAGCATCCAGGAAACCAGCACAGCTGCAAATATACTAACGCATGGAAGCCCAGCCTACGCTACCTCCAAGCTGACCTTTTGGACCAGGCTTGACTAATGAATGGCATCCCAATTTCTGGGCACTGAGAGTGGCTCTGTGGTGAAGACCCAAGCATGACAGCCCCACAAACATCCCAATCCCTCCAAATGCATTCCCCCCTCTTAACATTGCCTGCACCTTTCTTTATCTGTTGCATATCAAGGCATGCAATATAAACCCAGGCAATCTCCTTGCTTTCAATGGGACAAACATAAAATTAAGCCTCTAAGGTACCCTAGGCACCCTTTCAGGTCTCACATCTGGGCTTCTGCACTGTTTTCCTGGAAGGTCCCCAGTTTTACCCGGTTTGCTCTGCAAGCAATACTCATGTATTTACTTTGACCCTGGTTTGTAGAGCAGCAAGCCCTCTTTTTGAAAGTATTTGTAGATATCTAGCATATCTCATGTCTCAGACTCATTTAGGTGAGATTTTCTATCTTCTCACCTCAGAGTTGTCCATGAATTTCCTCAGCTCCCCGTGCACACATATTAGTGCAATTCTTCACACGCAAGATACAAAAGTGTTTGGAAAGTGTCTCCACATCACCACAGCTACATCCGGAGCTGTTTGGAGCATACATGACCATAGGAGAAGACAGAGATACTCACTAGGAAGCCCAATACCAGGCAGCGTGTGTCTGAATGTACCCCTTGACTGGCTCGCTGCAAGACAGAGAAAAAGGATGCTGAGCAGAAAGCATAGAAAAGCCAATCACTTCACAAGTTGCTGCTAAATTAAACCTGGGAACACACATGGGGTGATGCAGCACGGGGTATGTGAAGAGGAGGAAAAAAAAACCCCACACAAACGCGGCTGAATCTACCTGGCAGACTGACCAACTGGAAAGAAATTCAACCTGTCAAGTCAGAAAGACAGCCCTGCTGTTATCAATTACACAGTCAGGCTTGCTCAGGGAATGGCCGCTGCCTTCTCAGAGAAGTGATTAAAGAGCTGAAATCCTCGGGCTGACAGTGATTCATTATTTATTCTGGAGGCAACATGAGCTGCACATGCCCAAAATGCTCAGTCATCCGAGCTAGAGACAGCCGCTGCTTGAGTGTGGGGTATCTGCTTCTGCAAGGGGAGGTAACCCAGTCCCTAAAGCTGAGGTGGGCTGGGATCTGATGACCTTGATAACTCCCAAAGGACAAGTACAGCAGTTAATACTCAAGGGCAAGCAGCCCAGGCCTCTTAGCTGGGGATAGCACCCAGAAGGGACAATGCACCATCCAGAGGACATGCAGGGAACGTAGCAGGAGTACTGAAGGACCTCTCATGGTTCCCTCAGTTTTGTTTTTCTATTGGAGCACATGGGAAAAAAAATTCAGGTGTCTACATAACAGACAACACCCCCAAGTAACAGGTAATTCAAGAGTAGGTCATACACAGGACAAAGCAAGCATTGCTGCTACACAAGAGACCTACCAGAAGGTGAAGAAAGCCACAATAACAACAGTGACCAAGAGCTGGACCATCAGGATGGCATAAACCTGCAATGAGAGGCAGCCCATGGGTGACCCACAGACTCTCTGCTTCCCACCCAGCCCAGGGAAGCCAGCAAAGCCATTGTGGCCAGGTGCCTCCAAGGGCTCAGAGCTGGTCTCCTGCCTTCACAGGGGAAGGCTGACCCTGGAGAGGCTTGCCCCTTACCTTCCTGATGAACACTCTGCGCACGTTCCTGTCGTCCCAGCTGAAGGTTGTGAGCATCTCTGTGTCCCCTGGATACCCGCCACTGCCATAGCTTGGGCTCGTGCCTGAAGCAGAAGCCAGACAGATCAGCTCCCATCACCCGGTTCCCTCCCCAGCTGCAATAATCTGACCCCAGTGATTGACTGCAGCTCAAAAGGCCCAAATTTCAAGGTTTTCTTGTTGCACTACAAAACATAGGCTTGCTGGGATGCACTCTGCTCCCTTCCCACTCCTGCATCTTATTAGGACCATCTCCAAGAACAGAGGGGAGAAACCACTTCTGCAAACTCCAGCACAACAAGGACACCAGGGTTAATTCCTGTCTATGGTAAGACCATATTTTTAATGGCAATTAAGAGGGCTCGTATCATATCCTTGCTCACCTTTCACTGAATATTAAAGCGTCCCCCAGAGGAGCCGTGACTCAGCACCTCAGTCATTCCCATCAGGAGCTCTGGTGCAGGAGGATTCCCTCTCTGCTCTGTAATTGCCTGATGTTAGACTCTGTTTGCATCATTTCTTATGTCAACGGTGTGCCCTCTCCTCAGAGAGCCTCATTACAGCCAGCTTTTCTATAAGGTCAATCCCTGAATCTGATTTCCATGCAGAGAGTCAGAGAACAGTTTAGCAGCAAGCCTAAACAAGGGGGAAAAAGCCCCAATGCTACTGATGAGAATACCTTCCCCAAAAATCATCGCACCACACAACGCAGCCCTGCTTTGCTGAGGGCTCTGTGATACAAGCTCTTGTTGCTGGAGTTTCCCTGCAGAGGGGCAAGGAGGAAGCTGCACCATAAAGCGTCAGTTTGCTCTGCAGCCTGAAGGGAGATGGAGGGAAACATCAGAAAACCTCAGCCTGCTGGGGAGGCGACTGTGCCGACAGCCAGGGATGAAGGTAGCAGCGAGGATATTGGAGGGCAGGGGGCTGTGAGGAGAAACCCAAAGCAGCAGCTTCTCCCTGCTAAGATCAGCTGCACAAATTAGATGTAAGAATCAGCCTTCTCCACCTCCTGAACCTCATGCTCAAGAAAAAATAAAACAAATACTGAAACCTCGGTTGTCTTAGCACATCATTCCCCTATGCTATTCACTTCTCTTGCAAATATCCCCTTCCATGTTACTAATAGTGTCCCCACCTGGGTTACCTATAGAATGAAGGCTTATGTGATTACACCACCTATACATTCATGTCCCTGCCTGTTTGACAGATGCCTCCCCTCCTTCTCAAAGCTTTTTATCTCAGTGATACTCAGATCCTCCAGGTAGGAGGAGGAAAGACCCTCTCAAACTCAGAGGACAGGCTGCAGACACCAGGAAAGCCAAACTGGTTCTGGGTTTCTTCTGTTTGACTGGTCAAAGGCTGCTTGCTCTTACTGCAGAAGCCTCATCCTAAAGATGCCCTGGCAGGAAATAAATCCTTTGTGCTCTTCTTGTGCCTAATAAATCTCTTGTGCCTTCTTCTATGCCCCAGTGAAGATGAAACTCCTGCAGTGCATCCTCCCTGCGTTTCTGCAAGATCTCTCATCACTCACACAGGGTCAAGAGCACCTGAGGCCCATCCCCAGGACACTTCAGTGCCTCCTGAGTCAAAGTAATCAAGGCATCTGAACACCAAATTAGACACATAAATGCCTCTGAGGAATGGAAGGGGTTTCCTTCTCCCCAGCACCCATCACCTCCCACCTACGGTCACATCTAAGGTAGCAAGACATTGTGTCCCAAGCTTATCATTAAAGAAAGCAACCCAAAACACACACCCCTTCTCTCCAGCTACTTCCAGTCTCCTAGAAGCTGTTAGATGCAGCCCCATGGCATGTATCCCCCCTGCCCAGACCCTGGCACAGGAGCCACAGCTTGCAGCATGGCTGAAGGCAAGGAAAGGGGAGAAGGACATGAAATCAGAGGAAAACAACAGCAGGGATCAGGACACAGCTGCAGAGAGGAAATCCTGCCAGGCTTGTCAGGGAGGGGACAAGAGATGACACATCACCTAAACAAGTCCTCCGGGATACCCAAAATACCAGCATCCTAACCCATTCGGGCTTTACCCATCCTAATTCATCATGACAGTAGAAAGACCCAGATGGTTGTTATAGCAAGCTGGAAGGTTATTTATTCCCTCTGTTTCTGACCCCTGAAGGCAAAGAAGAATGGGAAAAGTCTGTGAAACCAGAGTGTGCAGGCACACACATCTCAGAGGGGGTTTAGCTTGCTCTTTCCCCTTCCCTAAACATCTCCATCCCTGCAGCTGCGACCATCCCTACTGGATGGAACAGGCAGCCAGCAGCCCACAGCAGAGGAGGACGACTGAGCAGAGAGGGAGGACTCAGGAGTCATTAAATCCAGTCCCTCCAGTGTTCTCTCCAGTTCAAGCTGTGCTGACCAAGCAGTTGGCCACCCCAGCAGACTCACTTGCCGGCCACTGTCCTGCATCCATCCCAGCTTGCCACTGCGCAGCCATTCCCCTGCACTGGGCACAGTGGAGCCTTTGTCTGCTTATCACGACCAAGCAGAAGCTGCACACAGCACCCAGGGAAGAAAAGCTGTTTGTTTGCTGAGGAGTCGGCCACACAGATCAATGCTGGAACAATTCAGCCTTCAAGTCCAGCCATGTTTTAGCATCCACTGGCTCTGAACACTGGCTCATAGCAGCCAGACATCACTGATGCCGCGATACCAATTTTGCCAGTTCAGCAGCCTCTTTGAAAGCCAGGGTTGAGCAGGAGCTAGAGGGGGGCCTGCTGCCTGCAGAGCCAGGAGCATTGCACCAGGACTCTCCCCAGCCCTGGGAGGTGGCATTGCCCAGCACAACCAGCTGGGAGAGGGGATTTTTCCCATGCCGGTACTGGGAAGGAGAGCAGGGACAGAGCACTGGAGTTCAGTCCCACCTCTGGAAGGCAGTGTGGTCTAGTGGTTGGGTGAAATGGCTTTTACATATAGATACAGACTTATATGGCTTATAGCTACAGCTCTAGGGTGAGCTCTACCATGGACCAAACTGGGCACCACATCCCTGGTTCCCCCCTTCTCTACAAGCCTGTAGGGAGAATCTCTGCACCCCTCTACCCCCTCTGCAAGGGGCTCACCCTGGGTACAGCCACAGAAGGACTTACTGGGGTCGACATAAGCCCAGCTGGGGTGGAGCGGGACCGATGGGGGAGGAGGGTAAGCACCAGACTTCATCCCTTCTCCCGCTGTCGCCTCCTCATAGGTCGGAGGAGCTGGTGGAGCCGTGGCATTGTCCTTCTTCTCCCCTTGCCCCTCAGAGTTGGGGGGTTTGTTGTTCACAGAAAGCTGCACAGAAAGGGGGGGCAGGGACAGAGAGATTAGACTGTAAAAACAGCACAGAAACTGCCCTGCAATGGCAACCCAACAGGGCATGGACAGAGGTCTGGGGAGTCCCTCTGTTGGAGCCCAGGAACTGGAAGGACACCCAGTAACTCCTGTGAGCTGGCAATGCCCCATCCCTGCACCCCCATGAAGGAGCATCCTCTGATGCGATTGAGGGAAGAGATGGGAAAACACCTAACATGTTAAAGGGGATGAAAAAATTATAGGCAACCAGGTGTGAGGGCAGACACAGCCTTGCCCAGGGTCCTCTGTGGTGCCTCAGGCTCAGGCTCATATGTAACACTGGAAAGTATCCAAATAATTCTCTGCTTTTCAGCCTACTTCTTTCTAAATTTCCCTTTAAAAAAGAGCTTTCAGTTACTGGGCAGAAAACCCTGGACTCCTTCATTTCCACTTACACCCACATTTTGGGGAGTTTCTCCTAGCCCCGGGGAAGTGCTCTGGTTTGGCCCTCCAATATTGTCTTCTAGCTCATTCCTCTCTGCCCACCTAGAGGCTCAGCCTTGCCGCTTTCCATAATTTGAAGATGCAGCTACGGGACTTGGGATCTCACGTCTTCAGACTATGACATCCCAGCAAAGAGCCAGCCTCAGGCCACCTGAGAACTTGTTTCTCCTTGAGAACATTATCCATTTAACATTCTAGATCTTTGTAAACCTGGGTTAAGTTATGAGCCTGGTATCCTGCCCTCCCTGCCAAAGAGGATGCCAGCTCAGTGTCAGGGATAGCATTCCATGGATCACAGGGATGCAGGGCTGGAACCACAAAAAGCCCAAAGTGAAGCAGATCAACTAGCCAGCTCTGCAACAGACAGCACAGTCCCTGTAAGGTGTTAAACTGAAGGTGTAACAGGCCCTTGAAAATAAAGCCAGGGTACCAAGCTGGTCTGTGCACCGTGAGCAGACCCCGCTGCATTGGGGTAACTGTGCCAGCTCATAGGGACTGTCCTCACCCTGTCCTCCATTACATAGCCCTTGGGTACAGGGTGGCCAATATCAAGCAAGACCCCCAGAGATACCCAAGGAGATACAAGAGGGACAGTGCTGCCTGCATCCAGGCAGCCTCCAGCATTGCACTGTTGTCATGGCAATGGTGCACTGTGCTGGCAGAGGACGCATAAACCACCACACACACAGCCCCCAGTCTCTGAGCATCGGAGAACCCCAAAAATCCAGAGCTCCTTGGGCCAGGAAGGAGGTGCTCAGGGCAGATGCCAAGCGCTGACTGCTGGGGGCATGGATGGGAAAGCACAAGCACCTGGCTGAGCTCCCTGACGGGTGGAGGAAACGGCTACAGGTCCAACAGCAGGGTTGAGCTCCACATCCAGCACCAGGAAAAACAACCTCCAACGCCATAATGACACAGCCTTCCACCCCCTTCCTCTGCCAAAAACACCCCCATCATGGGGGCCATCGCACCGGGCTTGCCTGGGTACCCAGCTCCCCGCTCCACAGCAATTGTTTTATTTCTTAATTCCCCTCCCTTCAACCCATTTTCCCCCTCCAAACATGCAACAATTATGCAAGCAGGACAACTTATCATCCAAGCACTGGCCTCCCACCTACCTTCCCCTGGGTCATGGCTCCTCGCTACCGATGCTGCTGGACCCTCTGAGCAGCAGCAGGAGGGAGAAGGCCGTGGCTGAGCACAAGCCTCCTCACCAGATCCCTTCCGCCTGCTCTCCCGGGGTGTTTCAGGGCTGGCTGCAAACGCTGCAGCCTCCGCAGCCTGCACTGATGCCTTCACCTTCTAGCAACATCCACAGAGCAACGGGTGCTGAAGGGAGGACCGTACCATTCCCAGCCTGCAGCACAGGGGGAAGCTGGGAAAGAAACAGCTAAAATGGAAGCGAGCAGCCACTGGCAGCGATGGGGACAATACACGGACACAGCAAAGGGGAGGCAGTGGCAGGGTCCCACACCATGGGGTGGGAAGCAGCTGCCCCAGAGATGCTGAACTCGGGGCTGGGATTGCAAAGGAGAGGGAGACGCAAAGGATGCTTTGCTGCAGCATCTCTCTGCCACCGCATGTCAGAGCCAACCACGAGCTGGGGAGCAGCAGCTTCCACAGGTCCTGCTGCAGCTGGGCACAGCAACAAGGGCTATTGTGGGGGGCTGGAGGCTCCCCTGGGGCAGAGGGGAAGGCCTGAGCCAAGCTCTGTAACATGAGAGCAGGAGGAAGGAATCCAACAGCCCTGGCTCCCTTCCTGACCCTTTCCAGGCTTTGCATGGAGTAGGATAGAGAGGATAAGGCTCATTTGCCCCACACGCCTTGTCCTCTCTGGATCGATGCAGCCCCAGCTGGGGGGCACAGGGAGGGTTTGGAGGTGTCCCCGGGCAGCCAGCAGCCCACGAGCACCACGCAGCACCCATCACCGAAGCAATATTTTTAATTCAGCCCCATGAAGGAGAGGGCTGAATGGGAAGTCCAGCTCCCAGCCCAGGCATGTCCAAGGGAAGGGGCACAAAGTGAATGAGGTTTTGTCCCCCATGACCGGGCCTGGGGGAATTAAAGTCTGGATAGCACAGTGAGATGGAGACGTCCCCTCTTACCACCCAGCCACAGCAGAAGAGAAGAGAATTGTCCTGTTCTATAGTGAAAGGCTTCACATGAGCAGAAGATTTGTCCAGGAGAGAAGAGACAGACAGTACAAACACAGCATGCCCTCTACCTAAGCACGTGGAGACACAGGCTTGGGATGAATGAGAGATGTCAGCAGAGCAGTCTTGCACTGTGTTCCCACAAAACGGAAACACAATTTCAGGCAGTTCTGGGCCTACACTCAGGCTAGGAGCTGTGCCCCTACATCCGAGCTCCCCACATCCTCCCACTGGTCCTTCCCCAGCCCCTTAAGTAATTATTGCTTGTCATGCCATAAGCATGCCAAGTCTATAATACAGGTACAAAAAATAAATTAGCTTATCTGTTTATTCTGCCATGAAAAAAAAAAAGACCCTGCCACATTTTAGGCTCCTCAAACACAGATCTAGAAAAGGTGAAGAACAGGCTGTCTGCAAGGAAAGGAAGTTGAAAAAAAACCCCACCCATGCCCATTTGCAGCTTCTGCAAAGAAGCAGGCAATGGAAGGGTTAAAAGGAAAGCATGAGCTGGAAATGAAAGAATGCGGCCAAGCAATGTACAGCTGGCATCCATACAGACCTAGCCCCAGCTATTCAATTGGAAAGAGAGGCAATTACCACAAGGACTGCAAAAACTTGTCAGGATTATTCAGAATCAATTAAGTGCCTGTTAACCACAAGCTCCTCAAGGGCTTTCATTCTCCTCAAGGTTGAGCAGAGGCATAAAACTGGGCAGGTCCCAAGTGAGGGAGAGAAACTCAACCCAGCAGGTGGGGTTCTCACTGCTCTAACCAGGCACAAGGAAACCATGCTTGGTTTGTTGATCCCCTTCAAGCATGAGACTACCCAAGGGGTCAAGGGCTTGGGAACAGAAACTCTAGGTGATGCGTGGCATTGTGGTGACAAAGGAGACACCCATTTTCTTAGTGAACCCAAGAGGGACTCATCCCAGCTGCAGTCCCTGGCCAAGCCAGATTCATTGGTGGGATAATGCAGGACCCCACATGCTCTATCCCAGGCTGAAGATGATTCAAAGAGCTAAAATACTGGGTCTGGAAGAGGAAAAACCCTCAGCAAAGAAAAGCAGATGGCATTGCCTACCACAACAGCCTCCCTCTAAATAAAAAGCAGCAGGAAGGGAAAACAAACCTGTCCACCACCCCATTGTCTAGAAGGCCTGTTGCCCAGCCCGAGCTCCGCAGAGATCTGAGGGGATCTCAGTCTTCCCTCGCTGCCCAGCCCCCAAACAAATCCAACACCAACAGGGAATATTTTCCTGTGGCTCTGGGAAACCATTATGTCTTCCCCCAGCCAGGAAATGAGCTGGGAGAGCCCGTGAGCTGCAAGACTTGAAATGAGTCTCATCTCTGCCATGAGGAAGACAAGGACAACTCTGCTGAGCTGATAGCAATGAAAAGCAGAGCCATTCAGCCCTTGCAGGCGCCATCCTTCTCCAAAAAAGCTGCTCTGAACCTGGTTCCTTGCTTTTCTGTTTGAGCTGGAAGCTCTTAAATGTACCACAGTCCTACCAACAAGGTAATTTTCTCTAGGTCTTCTCTTTTCCCAGTCTCACAGATGTATTAGGAGAATAAAAACACACAAGAGCCAGATTCCAGATTGTGGTGCTCACACACAGCATCACATCCACCATTCAACATCCCCCATCCATCTCCCTGACCAACTGCTGGCCTGGCTCAGCATCAGGCCACGTGAGAAGCCATTCACCTGCACACACATACCTTTAATACTCGGGGTGGGGGGAAGAAAAAAGAAAAAAAAAGAAAAAAAATCTCTGTCAAGGCCACACCCTGCCAAATCCACAAGAGATTTCACAGGGATTAAAGCAACTTTGCTGAACACTCAAATACATGAAAAACAAGGTAAAGAAAACCTGATGGGATAATTAAGGGATCTGCTGCTTCAACATACATGATGGCACACCCAGGAGCCCTCTGTAAATATGCTTTCCCCATCCCCAAGAGGGAAAAGCCCCCACTGCCATGGACTTCAGAAAAGCCCATTAAAAAAAACACAGGAATTTACCCTAGGCTTTCAGGCTGCTGAAATATCCATGGATTATTAATGCTAAATCCTGCTACCAGGATTGGTCCCTAGATGAGAGATTAACAGGCAAGCTGTGAATATCAGGGCATGCATGAAGAGGGGTTTGGAAGGATAAAAGAAACAAAAACACTGTTATTCTTGAGGGGCAAAATCCTGCCCTCATCTCCCATCCTGCCAGCATCCCAGGCACGCAGGCAGGGAGCTCCCAGTACCTTTCAGCCCCAAGTGAGCCACCCCAGAGCCTCAGCTCCATGAGAGGTGGAAGCCTGCTCCCACGAGCCAGCATCTCCCTTCCTGGCCAGCTCATACCTTCTTGCTCTTGTGCAGAGTCCTTCAACTGAATTAGCCCTCCTTCCTTCCCAAGCTGCTCTTGAAAAGCAGAGATAACTGCCCCTTAACATAGAATCATTTAGGTTGGAAAAGACCTTTAAGATCATCCAGTCCAACCATGCAATATAAGGAGCTAGACAAGCCAAACTATTTGGGCTAGGACGTTCTCCTCACTGGCTCCTGTATCAGTCTCTAGCTCAGGCACCAGTGTTGGCTATCAAAGCCTGAGCTAAAACCCAAAACCCAGCCCTCCATCACCCCTTTTGTACCATCAGTTTTCCATTGCCTGGAAGACAATCTTGCAAACTGTGCCCAGCTGCGCTGTCACACCGGATCACAGGCACCCCAACTTCTGGGTAAAATTAATTTAAGCCCTCAGAAGGGCATTTGAATTAGAGAGGGCTCAAACTCCAGCGGTGGGCAGTTGCTGCAAGTCAGCTGGGGACCATTATCTGAGTCAGCTTCTTGGTTGCTTGTGGTTGTTTGCCCATGCCATGGAGCTAAGGCAGTACCGGGATTTGGATGCTTTCAGAAACTTCACCCTATGTTTTTTTAAACGCCTCCAGAGCTGTGCTGTGTGATTTCAATGAATTGCAGGGAACAGGTCCCAGTGGTGAGGTTAAAAAGTAAACGGAAACAAAATCTGTGATACCCACAAATCACGTCAGAGAGTAACAACAACACACGCGTGTACACCAATCAAACAAATAGATAAATGTAAAGATGAGGCACTCCCAAGGATTACATTGTTCAGCTGCTCAGGGGTGCATTTCACTCATCGCTGCCAGAAGAACGTGTTCTTACCATCATGTGCATTTGATGCTGTTAAACGAAAGGAATTGCACAAGTATGCAAACCTGCCTCACTGGGAGTGGGGGAACAGAACAGGTTTGGGTGATGCTTGGAGTGACACCTTCATGCCACTGTGCAGTTTCTTCTTTAAACTATTATGAAGGACCTTTATATAATACAATCCAGGGATGTGCACAGGAATTTTTTAAATTCTTACGAGCCCATACAACAAGTAACCCATGGCCTTGTGGTGACGCAGCAGCCTGACACCCAGAACCCAGGTAATCAGCAGGGAGATGGAGGAAAGAGCTTTGCTGCATTTCAGAGCCCGAATTTCCAGCACTGAAACTGGCCTAAAATCCAGGTTGTTGGTGCTGTCCTGGAAGGAGCCTCTGTCTTTGCCCTGGAAGCTCAAAGTTAGAAGTGAGAGGGTCTCCCATCTGGCCTAATGACATCTCAGGAATAGCTTGTGATGTGCCCCCTGTCCTCCAAGCCCACGACATCTGCCTTCCTAGCCTACATCCCCAAGCGAGCAAGCACCTTTGTGTTTCTGCTTTCGCACAGCTTCGGAGTTCCCAGCAAGCCGCTTCCTTCCCCTCTTTCCTCCTCAAAACACATCTTTCCCACAGCATCCCTGCTCATGTGACTTCGCTAGGTCAGGAGATTGATGCCTGCCTTGCTGAAAGTAACTCCATTTCCTCAAACTCACCCATTTGTCCGCAGATTTCTCTCCCACTGTTATACCATGAGTGACCTGATACGCACTGTCTGGGTCTGTTCGGTCTTGTACCAGGCTGCCCTTGTCTGAGATCAGG